GAAGTCAGAAGTCAACTGCCAGTTAATAGACTTTTTTGCCGTATGAATATACGTTGCCCAGGGTGCACCACGTGGAGGTAAGTCTATTGCACACCCCACATGTCCAAACTATAAATTCGCCATTTTCAGACTCTTGGAACTGGTTGGATGTGACGGTCGAACCGGTCGGGATATGCACTCCTGTCTTCAGCTCAAATCTCCGGAAGCCTTCATCGAAGCTCAAAGCCAGTTGGTGGACAGAGAGGCTTACTTCAATATCCCATTTCCTCCTGTAATCGACGGCCACTTTCTGCCCTATCGAACCACACAGAGGTTCAACAATTTGGCACATCTCAAACCATCGGGTTCTGTGATGTTGGGAATGAATTCTAATGAAGCCAGCTACTTCCTACTCTACTCTCTTGTATCGAATGCCTCCTTCGATACAAATAGTGAAGCCCTTCCAGTAACCACTGAGGAAGAGTACTTCAAGGGTCTTTTGAAAGTTCTTGACCTTGAACATCACATGAGGCCAGACCTAATGAAATTCCTTGCACAATATACACAATTTGAGTACAAGAACTACTCCGAAATGGTAAACATTCTGTGAACCTTGTAAACACTTTATCACAAGGGAAAAGGGGCTTCGAAATTCGTTTCTTGGGCAACTAGTTAAACTTTCGACCAGTATTTATGATGTCAGTAATTTATACGTTTAAAAGTGAACTTATTGGATATTAACCGAAAAGAATGGTAGAATTCGCCTTTTTTAAAAGGTAAGGACTTTTATGACTAAAATGCCTTGAAAGCTAACACAATATTCATCTGTTTAGAGCTAAATTGTTCTGATAACAATCTCAATCCTCCTGTTAAAACTAATGTCTAACGCCTGTGAGAAATACTAAGAATAGGGTACCTTATCTGAGCATCTAGCTGTTCTGAAGCCTCTGCCTTTTAATCCCAACCACTTCTCAATACGACAATCGAATAGTGAGAAGTCGCCTGCAGGCGGCAAGAGCATTAGCAGCAGTCTCGAAAAGGAGAATACGTAATTTTAGATTGAAGGCAACTTGTTTGTCTCGGATCGACTTCAAATGGTTGGCTGGTCAGGTCAAACTGATTCGGTGAGTTAAGAGAGTCGAGTCTTCTATTTCGGTTGAGGTTAGCTTATTTGATTGCCTGCTTTGAGAACACAGAGGGCTCCTGTGTAGAATCGTATTATAAGGTCGAAGTGACTAGAAGTATTTACAAAGAAAAATATATTGGGTTGGCAACTAAGTCATTGTCGTTTTTGTTGACAGATTCACTCTATACTTTCTTTTGTTTTGTTAACGTGGCCAGAGCATCTAACCTATATTTTTTTCTTACTGTATGGGCTTCTAGGTTAATTAGTAAAAAATTTTTTTGTTTAGTTCTTTAGTTTTGTTTTTATCTCAATTTAAAAATGAAAGAACAGGACGTGCACTTCCGACACATTTTATTGTATTACTTCCCAAAAGGCAAGAACGCATCGCAAGCACAAAAGAAGTTATGTGCCGTATATGGAGATGAAGCCTTAAAAGAAAGGCAGTGTCAAAATTGGTTTGAAAGATTTCGTTCCGGTGATCTTTCACTGAAAAATTCACAACGATCTGGCCGCCCAGTCGAAGTGGATGAAACCCATATCAAGGCCATTATCGATTCAAATCGTCACAGCACAACACGAGATATTGCAGAGAAGCTCAATGTGTCGCATACATGCATTGAAAAAAAATAAAAAACCCTTGGTTATGTCAAGAAACTTGATTTATGGATCCCTCACCAGTTAAAGGAAATTCATTTGACGCAACGGATTAGCATCTGTGATTCGCCGCTACTGAAACGCAATGAGAATGAGAATGGTCCATTTCCGAGGAAGAACCTAGTTACTGGCGACGAAAAGTGGGTAGTTTATAACAATGTTACTCGCAAGAGATCATGGGTGAAGCAAGATCAACCAGCCCAAACAGTATGAAAAGCAGAGATTCACCAAAAAAGATTATGCTGTCAGTCTGGTGGGATCACAAAGGAATTTCATATTTTGAACTCATGCCGCAGAACCAAACGATAAATTCAAATGTGTATGTTGAAGAACTCGAAAAAGTGAAGGATGCAATTGAAGATAAGCGGCCGGCATTATCAAATCGGAAGGGTGTTGTTTTCCATCATGATAACGCAAGGCCCCACACATCTTTGGTTACTCGGCAAAAATTATTGGAACTGGGTTGGGATGTTTTGTCACACCCACCATATAGCCCTGACCTTGCGCCTTCGGATTACCATTTGTTTCGTTGCATGCAAAACTCTTTAAATGGTAAAATTTTTAACAACGCGGATGATGTCGGATCACGCCTAATTCAGTTTTTTAATGGCAAAGACCAGACATTTTAGGAACGGGGAATTTTTACTCTGCCAGAACGATGGAAAAAGGTAATCGACAAGAACGGCCAATATCTAATTGAATAAAGTTATATTTTTAAACAAAAATTCCGAATTTGCCTTCTTATTTGAAATCGGCAATGACTTAGTTGCCAACCTAATATATATATATATATATATGTTGATTTGGAAAATATCCACACTCCTCTGAGTTGAATATTGATACGGGCTTAGGCGTACTTTCCTATTTTGAACAAATTACCTCCCTGCCCCATCAACAATCCCCCTCCCCTCCTCCACGACTTTGGTGTACTTTGACGATGGTATAAGACGGGGAAAACTATTAATAGAATTAAAAATACATATCATTTAATATTAATTTCTTTTTGAACGACAGTTTATTTTATTACTGTAGGATTTTAGTGTCTACAGCGGTACAAAGGTCTGTTAAGGGGAAGGTAACAGGTTGGCTAATTTTCGGCAAGATTGAAGTGCTATTGGGCCTTTTAAGATGTACGGAATTTGTGGTTGGAGCTGAGTCCTTTGAGAGTTTGGTTTCAGAAAGTGAGTATAACTATTTTGGTGAGATAGTTCCAGCCCCTCAAAAGATTCTTAATACCTCCTTGTTTAAGAGTGACTGTCTGGAAATTTGTGTTTTTACCAAGGAAATACGTAAGTTTGAGCTCATCAATTAGATTAATTATTCAATCGACAGCAAAACTTCTAATAAAAGTTAGTTTTGATCATATTCTTCTAGTGGGCAATTAGTTAAACATTTTAGACCTGCTACTCGCCTGAATAAGTTCGTTTGAATCAATTTAAGTATTTTGTTCCCTTAGATGATGAGTATCACCGGATGCTACTATTTTGCTTTAATTAAAAGGACGTTGTAGCTACTTTTAAAGGCGAATATTATTCCTACCCAAAGAGAGAAAGAGAGATGAGGCAAAAGTCCCTTCACTCCTAAACCTGGCAATGATTAATGATCATGGTATTTGTGATCGATGACTGAAGAATGGGCCTGTCATTGAAATGGCAGAAAATGTATGATCGGTCAGACGTTGGACCGTTTGATGAGTGGTGACCCACCTTACTATGCCGTGAACTCCATTACGATGATGCTTTGGTTTCTCACCGTTGGCGTGATATGGACACGTAATTAAAATTGGCATTGTTCTTCTAATGGATGGTTCCGCCTTATTTAGCCATCCTATTTTGTACGTAAAATAAAAATCGTTCTTTTCTCCAAATTGTTGGAAGCAACAGAAGTGTGCTAGCAGAACGCTCAATGATTGGATAGAGGGACGCGGATCAAGGTGACGAGAAATCGACGTCAAGACACCATAGTGTTACTTCAGTTGGTTTTGAATTCAGGTTGTACTCCTCTCCCAAAAATCTTGTTTAATTAAAACAAAATTTTCCTTTAAGCCAAATCCCCAGACATGGACGCGCATGCTAGAGGAGATAAGCAGTGACAAAGGATTCAAATGCCCATTGGTGGAATTTGCACAAGCACTGGTGAATTCCAATCGAGGCTCGCATAATCGGCTATCTCTTCGGAGTGCAACACCAAGAACATACTTCTATGAGTTCGCTCACAGAACTGAAAGTCTGCCATGGCCCAAGTGGATGAAAACAGTGCACGGCCAGGAAATTGAGTATATTTTCGGTGCTCTCTTCTCACCACTTTTTATGAACAAATTCTACGGCTTCACTAAGCCCGAAATGGACCTCGCCGATAGAATGATGACCTACTGGGCGAATTTCGCTAGAACTGGGTAGGTTGTATGTCTCCAATCTTTTCTATAATCCCTGGCCTAATGCTGTTTCAGAAGTTTTCCTTGCTTAAGAGTACGAAAGGGCTCGAAATTGAAAGTAAACAGCCAATTTGTCAACATGGTTACATCTGTATAAGGTAGGATGGGGCTGGCAATGAGCATGCTTTAACTCCAAGCTTCTAATCCGAGGTTCATCCTCCTTCATTTAGTCACGCTAAAGAATGATCTCCTTTCTATTCACTCTTTAACGCCCTTAGGGCCACACGACCCTCTTTCAAAATCAGCTCCATTGGTACTAGACTGGTAACAGAAGGCCCTATTGGCCTTTGAAATATGTTCAATGCGTGTCTATAGCCTTCGCCTGTTACCTCACCAAAAGTCATCACGTCGGCGGCATCAGTCTGCTGTGGGTATAGTTGGGTGCATTTTTCAAAAAATAAATCTGGCTTCAGAGGCTTAAATCAACATGGGCCATTGCCTTTTAATCTATGGTTTAGTCGATCCAATTGTTTACATCACTGAAGAAATCGGTTGTAACTAATTCATCTGATTTTAAAGAATCGTAGTGGATTATTCCACTCACCTCCAATAAATGTATATGCGAATTTTGCGAGGGATCAATTCTGACTTGGCTAAGGTGTTCTAATGAGTGTCCGATTAAGAGACCATCATAGCTTTTTTCATTAACCCTTGTCATAAGCTATCCACTTCGCGTCAACGTCAAAATTTTGGTATAAAGAGGACAGATTCTATGTTATTAAGACAATAAAATATGCACCCGAATTCCCGTTCTATTCAAATAACAAATGTACCCTTATCTGTGGATGTGCTAGTTTCTGCGACAATTCTTTCAGATTTAACCGTGGATCTGTTTCAATCAGTAATGTTAATGTGTCATTATCTGGCGCATTACTTAATGTCCTGAGTTGAACCTCTTAAAAACTAAATTGACATCTTTCGACAGTTAGGACTTTACCACACATTTCACCAAACTTGAAGCTTTTATCTAAATTGTTCTCTGTCCACTACATTATTGTGCACTTTTAGCCTTAATGACAGAATGAAGCTTATTGCTCGTAAATAATTCTAAATCATTCGTAAGCTGGAAAAAACACACAATTGTTTCCTCCAGCGTGTCTGGACCCAAACCTCTGTTAGTAAACGCTAGAGTTCGTGGTGTAAACATGAAAAAAATAAACTCTACAAGATGGTTGAAAGATGAAAACAAAGACCAAGAACCACAGCACATATTATGAGAGGCATCAGCTGTCATACCCATGACTATTTATTTCAAATGACCGGCGTTTTGATAGTTATCATTAGCTATTTAGCTGACCTCGGGCTTCACAGAGAGGAGGAGGAGCATCAAAGTGACACCATGTGGGGGTAAGTCTATCGCACACCCCATACCCATGACTATAAACTTCCACCTAGAATAATCTGTATGGAGCAATGACTAGACAGATGTACAGGCAAATGAAATAAAATGGATGTCCCTTCTTCACACGCGGCCATTTATTCACTATTGACATACTTGTCGTGATCCTTCTATTGAATAGACATACAGCTGACTTTGAAGAGCCTATCCAGTCCTGACTGAGAAATATTGCTATAACCCTACTAATCTTCGAAATAGTCACAAATTCCAAAACCCAATAACAACAGTTAATTTCCTCAATGGCAAGTGTTACTGATCTTGTAGCGAACAGAAACGTTACATGTGCAAAACCCTCTCAGCCAATCAGAAATCAGTAACCGTTGAAACTTCGCGTGGCATCGGGTGATTTAAAGACTATGGATTGTGTCGGTTTCAGTATATTGTAATTAACCCTACCCCATCCATACGTTTTTTTGCTGGCATAACTTAACTAATTTCGGAATTAATTTTGCAAAGGGGAATTGCTAGGGTTTATCCAAGACTCCTTTAATAAGGAATCCTCTGCATAGACTTTATTCCAAAACTAGGTAAGATAACGGTCTTGCAATTTAGCAGAGTTAACAAATTATTTTTTCAAATTGCAGGTTTTATGATATTTATCATTAGCCCGTAAACTTTGCCTTCAGCTTCCCCATGGGTGGGGGTACATATATAGCAGTTAATTAATAGTAGTTCATTAGTTGTCTTCTTGCTTCCCAGCATCTCTAGGTTTCCATCGATGTCTTTAGGGCTGGACACCGAATCAGGTGGGTCTTCTCCATTTTCTCCTGTAGGCTACATAGGGGGCATGTGGGTTGAGTGTATACTCCCAATCCAGAGGGCATGTGGGTTGAGTGTATACTCCCAGTCTGTGAAAGGGCATATGGGTTGAGTGTATACTCCCAATCTGTGAAGGGGGCATGTGGGTTGAGTGTATACTCCCAATCTGTGAAGGTCCATGTGGGTTGAGTGTATACTCCCAATCTGTGAAGGTGTACATGTGAGTTGAGTGTATACTCCCAATCTGTGAAGGTGTTTATAGGCAATCGTGTTCGGTACGTAGTCTAAACTCATCAACGGGGCAATCGTGTCCGGTACGTAGTCTAAACTCAGCAACGGCTTTGATTCTTGGCCAATCTACGAGTTGTGCTTTCCTTTTGTGCCTTTTAACATTCTTTTAAAATTCTTCCAGGAATCCTAATATCATGGCAGATGGGAAATCTATTAGAGCATCTCAGAATAATTCCCCTGAGACAGCATCGGAGTCGAACTGCAAGTGGCCACATAGCCTTCCAATGACATACTGGGAGGAGTTCACCGAGAAAACGGAGTCATATTTAATTCTCGACACTGATCGAATATTCGTAGCTAGGAAACCCAGATCTAGGCAATGCAAGTATTGGAATCGATGGTATCCTGTACTGACGCAACAAGGTAGTTAAAACAAAAATTCATTGAGCATCATGACTAGGTTAAAATGTTTAAATACGATCTACTTTTTTCTCTAATTTCAGCTGAAAATATATCTGGAAGTTGCCCAAGAAAGAAGTGAGCAGTGGTCATTTAAAAAAGATGCTCTCTTTGTATATGTTCGTTACCTCCAACTATTAATGTCATTTATGTAACAGTATTATTTATTTTATCCCAAACCGTCAACTTATAAATAAACTGTCTAATGAAATTATCAAATCTGAAAAGCTGCTTCATTAAGTAAGCAGGAAAACAGCCTTTCGGGGAAATTGACTTGCAATGACAACTGCTATTAGAAAGTGAACAAATACGGTTCAACACCTTGGACTCGCCAATATTTCCATTTGAAGCCTACATATTACTAGTTGAAATTAAAAATCGGCACAAATTCAACATATTCTTTATTCAAAATTTTTGATTACATACGACTAGCAGACAAAAAATCATAGTTATGCATATCACAAAAGATTGGAGGATTAAAACTATAAAATTTCTGATCACTCTTCACCCTTTAAGGGTCTCTTGAAAGGCGTTTTAAACGTCCCCGATGAACGACCAAGACCTAATCGGGTTAATTTTCGCCTCTTTAAGGTGTCAGACTGTTGGTCCATAAACTTTAAGTTTGATTGAACAGTCTCGTTAGATTGTTCGGTTCTTTTGAGAGAGGGATCGGGTTTCATACTAGATTTTATAAATCGCTCGGTCGAAATTCCACATTCCTCCGACGCTTGGAAATCAGTTCTTAAGTGTAAATTTGACTTTTTATTTGTATCGGTAACATAGCAATTGCTTCTCCTCTCTGACTCATCGGAATTCGGTAAAATATCTGCCTCAATGGTTTTGCTAAAAGGCAAGAGAGAGGGCTTAATGAATGCCAGGGCTTAAGATAACAGTAACAAAGAAGCATATTGTTACCTAGCATCCAAATCAGCAGTTTTAATTTGTTCGGAATTGCCACTCTCATTACACTAAAATATAAATTAGGCGTTTAGATCGTTGTTAATAAAAATGTTAGAGTAAGGAAGGGGAAAACTCACTTCAGCGTAGACAGTCTGGCAATCATTTGAGTTTTTGGTTTCGGGTACTTCTGACTCAAAGTTTCTATGAAAATAAAAAAGGAAAACAAGTATAATTAGCAAACTTATACTCAGGGTGATTGAAAACAACGCCCTTTGAATATCCTAGGACATCGAAACGTGTTACATCACTGGCTTACTATGAATCCCGGACACTAGTTGGCCGAATACAGAGATAGTGAATCTACACAAAATTTGTGCTTATATTGATCCAAAAACCACCAAGATCATTCATTCAGAATTTAAAATCACAAGTTTCATATTGAAAAATGGCATTAAGTACTACAATCTATACCCAAGTTTTGATCAAATTCTTTTCAAAAGACTTAGTTAAAGTTACATCTGTGATCACTACTACTGGCTATTTAATATTCTTCATAAAGAAAATCTAAATATATATTGATGAACATCAGAAAGATAAAGACCGTTTTTCGTTCAGCTATAAAAGCAAGGCCTTTCTTATCCTTTGTCTTGTTTAGGCAGCGTGTTTTTATTCGTACAATTTATACTCACCTGTTAAGAATTTTGTCAATTTCTCCATCTGTAAGATTGAGAGCATCGACTGTAGATTCTTTCGCTGAAATTGGATTATTTAAGAGCTCCCTAAAATCTATTTCTTCTTCGAGATCTCCTTTTGACGTCTGCTCATAATTTTGATAGTCAACATCCACCTACAAAGAGGATGTAAGGGTTAAGTTCTCATCAATATTATTTGCTGTACAGACGACAGCCAAAACACTAAAGCAGTCTACAGGTGTATTTAACACCCCACACGTACATATCGTATTCATCCGTCTTCAACATATGAGGATTATTCCAGTGCCTCGTCAAAATATTTTCATTTAAGCTTAAATTCGTGTTTTAAAATGCATTTAACGCGTAAGTAATTTAGAAAAATTAAACTATTTTAAGTCTATTTCAAAACACCTTCAGCGTACACAACTCACCAAACTTTGGTCGAATGTGCCGTGAATTGAAGTCAATGGGCAAAACATCAACTACTATTTTATTGCCAGAAGTATCATCGAGTGATTATATATTATATTGCTGATAGAGTACGAGTTATATTTGAAACCTTGAGCTGATTCGTGGATTTATACCAAGTCTCAGCAAACTTAAAAATTCATAATGAAATTAAAGCAAGCTTTTTTGGGAACTTACTGTGGAAGTGGGGGGTTTTGATTTATCATGAAGCAGAAGTTGCTCAAGTCCACGTTTAGCTAATGCCCGCGAGTAGATATGCTCTTCAATCGAATTGACTGTCAAGAAACGAAGAACGAGAACAGGTTTCTCCTGTCCCAAGCGATGACACCTAGTCAAAAGGAATAATAAAGCAAAATTATAGACTCGTGTTAGAACCCAGTAAAAACTAGATATATTTCAATAATAGCAACACCACTGAATCCAGATTAGGTATGTTTTCTTAAATTAAGATACCTGAATAATTAATCAATTTTAAATAATGCTTTCATGGTTATTATTCACATCTACACTCAGGAGAAGAGCAGCTAATTTAAATTAATTCGAAAATAATATAGCATTCAGTAAATTATCGTAATTTCATCTAAAGTTGGCAATACAAGATTCCCATTTTTATCATTAAATAATGTATGGTTTTCCTTATGATGGATAAACAAACGAAATAGTGAAAGAAATCCACGTGATTCCGCATAGCCAACCTGTGGAAAGTTTGTAGTTTTATCTTTCGGTGGACAGTGTTTGTCACAGAAACAATGACATATATTGCTAAAAGTCATTCAGTCGGATTAGTAATCAAATAGAAACCATAGATGTAAATAAAGAGGGAAAGGCCAGGCTTCTCATCTCATAACATTGCCATTATCATCTCGTTAAATTACATCTTTCATCTCATACCCCCGAGAGATCTTGAGCACATGCTCTGAATATATCATACTGTACAACAATAAGTCAATGAAATATATTAGACATTGGGGATAGGGAGAAAATGAGCCAAAATGCCAAGGCCACCATGTTTCAAAGACATCTTTCTAGGTGGCCAGACACTAAATGTCTAGATGGCACATAATTGAGTTGTTATAACTTGATGATGGGTAGGAGTGGAAAGCCATAGGAAATAGAAGTGAGGAGAGGTTGAATAAGCTGCTTTTATCTATCACATGTTCTTTATTCCTATCCCATCACCTCAGCAGGCAAGCCAGTCTATATCGGAGGAGATGGATTAGTTCGTGTTTTTATCACAAGCGAATGTAATTGTGTGCTCTTCATATCCTCCTAATTCTCCGTGAGATTAACTCCCACGTGGGAAGATGAGTGGATATTCGTGCCTTAGCGGTGTGTTATAGGGTCCATTTGTAAGGCAACAGTCATTTGGATAGTAACCTTGCCGTTGACTGTGAGTCGAGTTATATATTTCAATCGCATATATTGATGCCCAATATTGTTGTTTGTTAAATAATATCGAAACATGTTGCCTAATATTCATGTAGCAGTTTTCATGCACTGGGGTGCAATCAAAATACATTCATTGTGTGAAAAAATATTTCCACGCAATTTTATCAACAGTTCCCTCTTAGTTTCCAATGCTGAGGAATATCTAATAAAACAACTTGCCTTCTCATTTAGCTTTAAATATAAGATTTATCAATTAGAGAGAAAAGTAAAATATGGAGATTTCCTTCTTAAAATGCAGGTACATAACTGGGTTCCATTTTATTTCTGGGTCGTTTATCCTTAGCTCTTTGGGAACCTAGTTTTACTATAGAATAATTTTCAAGGAAACAACTCCATCGGTTTCATGAACGGCTACATGGGTTCCCTTGAGGTTTCCTGTTCACTTACTTAAAAATCCAGTTCTTAATCTGTTAATATCGGACCAAAACCAATATTTTAAATTTTGAACGTTTAAAGGACGGGTTGCAGCACCACTTGTATTGCCAATTCAGCAATGCATTTGGTTATCATGAGCGGGAATGTACCTTCTCGAAACGGGCCAAAACATTTGAATTTAGCAATGTTGACTAACTGGAGGCAAAAGTAAGCGTACCATATCACGCCGCTATTTCAAACAAAAACATGACCAAAGCACTTAAGGAAAATTTGTAAATTTACCGATCCATAGCCTGAAGGTCTAACTGGGGGTTCCAATCAGAGTCATGAATGATGACAGTATCAGCAGAGGCTTGGAGATTGAGCCCCAGTCCACCTGATCGAGTTGACAACAAAAAGATTGGAAGTTCTGCTCCGGACGTATTGAACTCACGTATTACCTCCTGTCGCGTTTCAAAACGAACTGCGCCATCCAGTCGCACCCAATTCCAACCGCGAGCTATCAAGAGATCCTCAATCACATCCAGAACCATTGTAAACTGAGAAAATATGAGTGTCTAAAAAAGAGGAAAAGGAGCTCGAAACGATTCTTGAATTTCTTAAGAACTAAATCACAAGATATCACCGGTTTCTATTGAAAATAATAAATTAAAACTTTTGAATCTATATCCATATCTTTTATCTGAAATGCCTGTTTATATAAAAAAATAGTAACTATAGTTACAACAACGGGGGAAAGACAAGAGGATTCGGTTCATGAAATTCATAATAAGTACTTCACTTCCCATTGAGAACAATACGCTTCAAACTTTTGAGAACTATCTTTTGAAGAGGATCTCGCTTAAACCGATGTCAACATAAAGAATGAAATTTAGAAAAGTAGCATTTTCAACCACCCTTATTAATCTTAAGACTTAGAGGAACCGATAATTGGGCCTGAAGAACAATGATATTCTCAAAAGTGAGAAACCATTGATAGTTTTACCTTCCACATGCGATTGGTAGGCTGGCACTTCCCAGCTTCGAATTGCCTTAAGATTAGGATTTGATCATTTAGTGGCAGGAATTGGCTGTATTGAGTATTTAGTCATGAAAGTCCAATTAAGCCAGAGAATTCACTGACGACTTAATCTATTTACCTTAGCTAAGCTTGCTTTTGGCAACCTCTCTCCCTTGGGAAAACTGGGAGGCCTTTTCATAACAGACTAAATGCGAAATTTACTTCGTTGAAACATGGTCGCGGGATTTCCCGTGGAAATTCGCTTAGCTAGCTCTTCATGTGACATGGCTCTGCCATAGCGTAATCCTAAGAGCTCTAACAATATTGCAAAAGTGGGAAATTACTTACCTTATGATTAGCTGCAATTAGATTTTTAAGAAGCCTATCAAGGAGGGCCAATTTTCCACCCATTCGAAGGAGTTCATTCACGAAATCCTCCTTCTTTTCTTCCGTTTGGTTGCATTCTATTGATAAATTGGGCGAATCTGGATGTTCGAGTACAAGGTAGGAGTGGTTAGCGAGTCTTCGAAGCAGCATGAGTTTTGAGCTGGACTCAGCGCTTTTGAGAAACTTGTATGGTGGCTCCGATGGTTGTGTTGGACGAGTTGGACTGTCATTTTCGACTGGTATAGAATTTGGCTTTACCTTAGGTGGTCTTCCTCGTTTTTTAGGTAGCAGAAGCTTTTCGTTTATGCTGAAAATCATAGGTAACTAGTCAGTGTAGTACTTTATATTAAATATATTATTTCTTTTTCAAAAAAATTCAGCCAATGGCATTAGTGTATTTTCAAGAGAAAACCGAAATTCAAAACTGCGTATATTCTGAAATAATACAGTCATTATCATAGCAGTAAATCTTCCAAACAAAAGTAATCAAATCTAAATAAACCGTTAATTTTCTGTGATTTGAGCCAATATAGATACAGCAATAAACAAATATCGAATCTATATATATATTAAGAAGGGAAGTGAAAATTTTGATATCCTAATAAGTAGCTATTATTTGACCAAGGTTCTAAATTATGTATAAAGAGGAAATCAACATTAGTATGAAAGAAAGTCATGATTTCCGACAGATTTATTAATCATAAGGTGATAAAAAACAGTGGATATGAAAGGAAGCGCTTGATGAGTGCATACATCTATACATTTGACTAAGCTGTTGGGCCACAAACCGGAAGTAGCCTTCCAAACACTTTTAGACTGTATCACGAGCTATTCAAATAATGCAAGCTTCTTTGCGTTATTTCGTGTAATAAATAGATCTTGACATAGGACATTTTAACTATTCATGTCTTTGGTTAGATTTAATACATCCAGAAATTTAGTGCACATAGTCCTTCTCGTGCACCTTCAAAACAATAACATTCCTTTATAGTGCAAAAGCATTGCTTTCCTTTCCATGAACATTCGCGTATTACTGGTAACCGCTCGAAATTCCTCAGGGTGGATGTGCATACCTTTAGAGATGGAAAATACCAGGCCTTAGATATTCTTTCAATTCATTCGAGTTTAATTTTGTCGCTCTAGAACATTAAACTACTGTCTTCAAATTATATAGCGTTGTTTAGTTTTTCAAGAGAAAATACACACACACACACACACACACACACACACACACACACACACACACACACACATATATATATATATATATATATATATATATATATATATATATGAATGTTTGTGTACGTGAATTACCTTATCCTGCTATCTGAAGTCGGAACCATTTCCTCTTTGGCGTTGTTAAAGCTTCTAGATTTCTCTAATATGATCTCTTGCTTCTTTGATCGAAATCTCTCTTTGTCTGTCGAGGGGTCTTCATTTCTAAAAATAAAATGGCTTTGGAGTATTTTTGATTTCAATTAATCTAGAACATGAGGCTTTCTACATTCGACTCATAAGGTGCAGGTAATTTTCAATGAATGGAAATGTTATACTCCACAATTTAAAATCATTCGATTTTTGTATATTGGAAGATCCGAATAAGGTTTTGTCCAGTTAGATTTATAAAATACTACAGTTCTTACGAAAATAATGAGATAAAAGTTCGAAATAATCGGAAAAGTATACGCATTCTAATTTATTATCAAAAGACGTTAGGGGACAAGTTCATCATGAAAGATACTTGTCATCGCGTCAACTAGATGTAAGTTAAAACAGAATATTTGCCAATCTTGATGCACACATGCCTATCCGAAACAGTTTAAGGGGATTTCGGAAGTTTTTGTTCCACATAGAGTTCGTAAAATATCTTCTGACTATTCTGAATATGGCCCAACGGATGGTTTATTGGCAGAGTCTTAATTTACATTGGAGACTCAAAGAAATGATATTCCAACAAAGTGCCTTCAGTAAGAATAATGATACCATCATTAGGAGTTTCAAATACACTTTCAAAAAGATATCTATCTAAGAGTATGTTGACATGCCAATATGCTAATGAGCACTGAAACAGTCAACAACATGCTAAAATTGGCTTCAATTTAAGCCAAATTCAGTTACCTTGAAGAAAATCCCCGTTCATCGAAATGACAACGATTGGAGCCCACACGTCTTTTGCACCCTTCTTTCAAAATATTATTCCTATCAATAGAAGTGATACTTCCTATGGAGTGTTTAGCCGGTGACGCTATTGAGCCCTTTTCCAATAGTGTTTGCACCACGAAGTCGTGAAGCTTCTATAAAAATCAAATTTATTAAATCAAGTAAATGAACAAAAAACCAGTATTTTTGCATCAATAGCCCAATGTCAATAGTAAATGTAATTTCCTATCTTTTCTGCTATGCATCTTCGCTAGTTTGTAAATGAGTAATAGGGATCATTATAAAGCTCAGTCCTAGTGTTCAGTATCACCACCTATCGGATTTAAACGATAAACCGTGATGATTAGAAAATGATATTCAATCATATTACGTGGTAAATACTTATTTAGACCCCAGTTCATACAATACTTGAGTCCCCCCTTGTTAATAACAAACCGAGGTCCCTCAGGTCAGTACTAAAGCTCATTTCCATCCATTCTAATTCTCATTTCCTCCTATTTATGAGGCTTCCTCTTTTCCTTTCACATTTCTTTATTTGGTAGAACTCAACTGTTAGTCTACTGATTTTGTTTCTTATTGATTTACAGAGACATCATAAACTTTGCAATGTGATTTCTCCACGATATGTTTGGGTGATTCAAAATATTTAAACCTCCATATCGTAACTCTAAGCCTTAGGAAAATTTTATCACCTCAGGATAATTTTGACAAACACATTTCTTTTTGAAACTGATAAATAGCTGATCATAAGTCAATTCTTTAATATTTAGGAAATTTAGCATACACACACACCTGTTGATCAGGTGTCATAAGAACCCGCAGAATTATTTCCTTCTTGGGAGGTAGTTTAAAGTCCACCTGCGCCTTGGTTCGACGAAGCATGAAGGGATGAATAATGTTGCGAAGATTTGTAACTAGCGCATTTTCAGCCTCCTGAACAGCTAATCGATCACGTCCCATTTGATCCATGAGGGAGGCTGGGTCAAACCATCTCTAAAAGGAGAAAACATTAAAGTAATAATTAGTATCCGAATCCGTTTGTATAATCGATTATGTATTTTCAAAATTTTCAATCAAATTAAAACTATAGGTGGTAGGTTGTTATTATTAACCAGAATAAAGGGAGACAATTAATGTTGTATTTATCAAGAGTCTAAATTGAAGATTGAGACCTGGAACACACAAAGAATGCTCAGTAATAAAGGTTACTTCAAGTCAATTCTGGTCTTTGGTTAAATTTAACATAATTAAATCTCTCAGCTTTATGGTCAACCAAATGTTCAGAAGGAATGTGACATAAACAGACCAACACATTTTGAATAAAATTAACAACATGAACGCATTGAGGGTGAAACTAGGGGCTTTTAAGAAATTTAGAAAAAACTTTAATACATTCTCCTCTGAAGAGAAAGTAAAGAAATATCTGCTTCCTAAATACAACTCAAGACATTTGACATTCCGACTTTCTTATATGCTTCAACAATCCCTAATGCTACTCCCTATTGGACTATTTCGGCATCCAGAATGTTTAGATTCTATTCATTGAAAGAAGACAGTAAAAGAACGTTTGATTGTCATGGATAATAAACGTCTTATTAAAGACTGCATGTTCGGTCAGAGAATTTAGCAATATTCAACGCGATTGCGGAAATCTCAGTTGATCAGCCTCATTGTTTCACAAAATAGCTTAATCTAGCTGTTTTAGTTGCGATAAACAAAAAATGGAATAGACGATTTGAATCAGAATTTATAACAAAAAAAAAACACATTTTAAAAAGGATTGTGATAGTTGTCAAAATCTTCTCCATTTTGTTACCATACATTAGTTCTATTGCTGGAAATAGTGTCTCGGGTTGTATAATTGCTTTGGAAAATAGAATCGTATACAACTACCCACCTAGCTGTATTTAGCCATTTGACGTAAATGCATTTCCTATGAGTAAATTACGTCTTAAAAGGCGTGCATTATAACTGATTTTTTGAATTATTACAAATAACTACTTAAAAACTTTTAAGTAACAAGGCATCAAATAATTGACTATTATAATATGTATGTAATACATTTTGAAAACTGCTTGAAAGGGATATTTAAGTAGCTACGTTTTAAACATTGAAGTGAATATACCACTCTTGGTTTAATTTAAGCAACAACTTGAAATAAAACTTACCTAAACAATTAAAAAAGACGTTTTCGTCTAGGTACTAGGGTAGTGACAATCGAATTGTTCAAACATTTAATTGGCAGCATTTACAAGTTGTGCAACTGATAGAGTTAACATTTACAACGAACTTTTAAAGGAAAGTTTTAATGAAACAATAAAACTAAAGTTGTTAAGTGTTCGTGAATATTTGAATAAAACACTACTTTATTACAGATGAGGCTACTTTACTTAAAGTGAATTGAAATACAGCGACCTTTAATACCTTATTTCTGAAATCTTAAAGCCTTGTAAAAGCGAAGGCTATTAACATGTCATCTTCTGAGTGTCGTCATCAGATCTACCTTAAATAAGATCAAATCGTTCCATCTTTGAAACTATTGTTGAGAAACATTCAAGCCTGAAGAAAGAGCGAAATAGTCTATAGGGGCGAATACAATGGTCGCTGTACCACGGATTCATACAGAGGGTTAATAAAGGAATAAACACGATTACATGCGAATTATCAAATCTATTAAATACACTAAAATCACATGTAGGCAACAACATAGCTGGTTTACTGATTAAAATCAGGTCCAACCATGCCTAGAGCTTAAAACGCACCTCTTCAAACAAGAAACTGATTGAAATAAAAAAGCTTACGGCAAAATCAGCCACAATTGGAAATATCTCAGGCAAGAGAAAGTGCAGAAGCCTCCAAAGTTCCGAAATACTATTCTGCAGAGGAGTACCAGTGACAACTAATCTCACTTCGGCATCGTAGGTCTGCAAACACTGATAAAGTTTCGACGCTGCTCCTTTGATTCTTTGGGCTTCATCAACTACCATTGCCTATGGGTCTGGATGAAAAATTGTGAAAAAGCAAATACCCACCTTGAAATTTATACGGTTGAGGAAGGAACAATCTCTAATGGCAACTTCATAGGTTGTTATTACAACAGGAAGAATACACTTAGGAAGAGAATTTGTTAAAGAAGAACCTATTTGATCTTCATCAATCTTTGACGTTTCATTTGATGAGTTCATTTTGTTTTCTTTTGTTTTTGCTCGAATGTCTTGCCTATTGTTAGACAGGTTATGCACATGAGTAGACTTTTCTTCATCCTTTTGATCAAATGATTCGTTTGAATTCACTAAGGAAAAGTTATTTGGCAGTGTTGAAATGTCCTCTGAACCAGAATGAAATTCGGAGGGGCCAATTTCTTCATTTTTTAGATTGGTTGAAATCTCTGGACCATAATCCATATCTTCCCTCGAACTTTGACATTGATCTTGAGATGTGCCTTCTGTAAAAACGCCTTGAGAAAATAATTTATAGGTTTCTCCATTTTGATCTATTTCTGAGGGTGACTTATTTGAATCAAGAGAAACAATTGGGTTTAGAGAGCCTATAGAAATTCCTTTAGGTATATCAGTATTGGTATCAATCAAGTTGTTAACGATATTCTCTTGCACATTTACTTCAGAGTTGTAACCGTTTTTGAAGGATGGCAAGACATCTGAGCTCAGTAGAGGTCCAAATGGAACGTTTTCATTTTCAAATAATTTGATTCGCGTTTCTTTCAGTTCGCTTAAATCTTCAGTTTTAGGAGTAATCAAAACTTTATTTTGACCTCTATCAACTCCAGTTTCATGATCTTGATGTGCTTGGTCGATAGACGTGCTTGCTTGTGAAATGAAACGAGACACATCTGGATATTTGTCGCTAAAAACATCTCTTTCTTTAGCATAACTCCGATCCATTTCCATTGACAAATCAGAAAGATCCATTCGATTTTTGGAAAAGCTCTCAGGTATACCCTCAGCGATAACCGTAAAGTTATCTATGGACTCCCTTGTGCGGAAATCTTTATCACCACCTTTTTCAAAATCGTGAAAACTTTCTATGGATGAAGATGGAAGTGAATAAAACTGATCGTCAAAATTTTGAGAAGCTTGAATAGGAAGCATGCTAACTTGTTCCATCGAATCACTTTCAATTCCAGGTTGAATTTCAGAATGTAGTGGTTGCATTAGACATGCTGAGCATTTCGTTTTCATATTATTTTCGGCATTTAAAACATCATTAATGGTAAAACTCGAATCTCCAGAATAATTGTACAAATTTCTTGTCGAATCTTCAGGATAAAATTTAGATTCCTCATTAATTTGGCTGCTATAATCCAACTTACAAGGAACCTTACCACAATCCCGACATTGAATATTGCTTTTATTTTGATCAAAAGTAACCGGCATTGACAGTGTGCTCTCTTGATGCAATATTGAAATAGAGCTATCATCATTGAGGTCCGAAGTAGAAGAGGAGCTAGCCCCGTTTTCACCTAATTTGGAGCTGAACAGAGAATCAAACCTAATCGGATTACTAAATTCATCAGTGCCTGACAGAACAGCGTCAATTACTTTGTCTAAATTTGCCAAATACTCAGGATTACTCTCGTAACCATATAAAGTGGAAGGAATTTTCAATTTTTTGGGTTTAGCAAATTTCTTCTTAATATCATTTGGACTTTCTGGTGCCGGAAGAGACTGGATTTCTTGTCGATATTCGAGGGAAGAATTGTCTAAATTTTTCCGAATACGAGATAGTTCCTTTGATGGGCAAAAATGCTTTTTTGAAATTACTTCATCCAAAGTTTCATCAAGGCTATTCAGAATAGGACTTCCTGCCCTGAATTGATGAGACAAATGAAAAGAGAGAAATCCCGATTTCCAGTGAGTTTTTTTCGCAAGTTTATCATCCAAACTTTGTTTGTTAGGAATAATAAAAGAAATCCTATCTTTGTGCATCTTATTTACAGGTTTCTGGGATGCGCATTTGAACTTATTTGCAGTTATTTGAGGAAATCTTGCCAATTTTAAACATTTTCGGCGCTTTTTTGATGCATTTACAGTACCTAACATAACAAAACGATTAGTGAAAAACAGCATACCACTTTTAATTTCAGGAAAACCATTGAGAGACTGGCTTTCGACCTTAATTCGTTTACGAAGAGCCAACCTTTCACTCGCACTCCCATAATATAAAATATGGGGAATATCCGGTGCAAAGGTATTGAATTGTTCGGACCAACTGTGGAGCAATGAGAGCGGAACAACAACAAGAAACGGTCCAGGAGAACCATTTTCAGCCATTAGAGCTATTGAAGCAATAACCTTTAATAAAAACGATTAAATGAATTCCAAAGACGAACCTGAGCGGTTTTGCCTAGACCCATTTCATCTGCAAGAATTCCATTTAGGCCATTTTTGTAGAGATCGAGTATCCACTGTATGCCTTCTAATTGATGGGAGCGTAAAGGCGGTCCCTGTACTAACTTGGATGTTTTCAAAAGATTTACAATGCCTAGAAAATTTTTGAAAGGCCGTAAAAATAGAATTTTATACTAAGAAAATACAGCAATTTTACAACAATGTAGCATAAAATAGTGTGCGAAAAATGAGAGCAAAATTACATGAATCATTTTCGGAAATACTAACATTGCAAAAAAAATAAAGGTATAATTTACTATTTTCATCCGAACATATTTAAAAATTTTTAAAGATATATAAATTATTTAAAGCAAACATGTTTACTGTTAGAGCTTGGCTGTTCCAATTGTTCATTTGCAGATCGAACGTAGACTTCGATCTTCCTAAGCACATCTACAACTTCAGAAACACAATCTCTTTCGAACGATAAGGACATAATTGGAAAATATAGAAGCGCGAAAACGCATAAATTATCCGCGTTGAAAGGTCTGAACAAAAGTTAAAACGACATGATATAATCGAAAAAATAAAAAATAAGTTTTCCCAAGTCTATCTTTTATTTCATTTGAATTTAGCTAAGGAAACATTGCAGTGTTGCGAAACAATTTTAAAATAAGTTATGCAATGCTCTATAAAGACGTTGTGAAAAGAATTAAAATAAAACTCACAAAACACATGGGTCATTGTTAAAAGTAATGTAGTCTATTATGTTTTACATTACTTTTCTCGGCCATTATGATTCAGAAAATATGTCTAAATAATTTTTATCGATGAAATTAAAACAATATAAACATTCAAAATTTTAAGAATTTATGAACAATAATATGTAAGCTCTTTTGATAAGTGGTTAGAGTATATTTTTGAATGTTATATTGTTTGTTCTAATCAATTATATTTACAAAGTTTGTAAAGACTCTTGCGAATTTACGAACCCGCGGTAAATATCAGAACGTACGGGATATAGCATTTACTAAAGTAAGGATTATCTGGATACTGATTTTAAAGTATGTATCAATGATGAGTGAACCTAACTCAGGGAACGAAAATTATTTCTTTAAGTTTCGAGATGAAAAAATGGAAAATCTCCAGAAGCGTAGAGAACTAAATATGGAATACCAAAAATTCAAAGTTATGGATGAAGAGCGATTTCGCAATCGTTTTGCAAATAAGAAGGTGAACAAAGTTATCCCAACTGCACCGGACCCTATTAAGGAAATTGAAGCTCACAACAAAAACGGTAACCCAAACCGTAACATGGAAGTTCTTCTAAAAAGATTAGATGTGCTGCAGCAAAACGTTGAAGATTTAAGGAAATCCCAACCAAAAGCTAATTATATTCAAGATAATATCGTTCCGTTTTCCAGTAATATTTACCAACCGAATATTATTGATGAGGCTCTAAAGAGGATTGATGAATTGGAAGATGCTATTAAAGCAATGAGTGTATCTGAAAATGTTAAGAAAACTAGAGGGAACTCGGAATATCTCACAATCGATAATGATTTTTCGACTGTGCCGAAATCAGTTTCAGTGGTAAATGAAGAGCCAGATTCCCTTGAAAGATCACAACGAATGGCAAAGCAGAGATATGCCAATGACCTTAAACTACAAATTGAAGAGAAACAACGCCAAAAGGAATTACAGAGGCAAAGAGAACGTGAAGAGGATTTACTCAAAATGGCTGAAACACTTGAATATGATACCCTTGGACACCGAATTCGCGATAAAACCACCGGGACCTCATTTTCAAAAAAGAATATTATTTCACATGGAAAACAAGAAAACTTTGCTCGAGGTGGAAATGGAATATTTGGTGATCCTTTAACAGAATCCCAAAAGATAGCCAACTTGAATTATAGGAATGAATTATCGCTTCAAATCGAAGAAAAGCGTCTTAGGGAAGAAATGAGAAAACAGGTAGAGAAAGAATTGGAATTAAAGGAATTACAAAGTTATATTGATGAAGAAAAACCATCAAGTTATCCAAAACCTTCGGAATCTCCTCAAACTAGAAGGTCATCAGAATCGATACAGGTGTCTTTGCCTCCAAATGACACTCGAAGACAAAGCGTCTGCGTTCAAGTAAATTTAGAGCTTCAACCGGGACGGCCGAAAGCAATGAAAGTCGTCAGAAGTGTACCTATAATGGAGAAACCCCGGAAAGCGCCCAAAGTCGATGAATTAATGGCACAAATAACTCAATTAAAAGTTGAATTGGATGCCGAAAAACTGCGAATGGAGCGAAATAGAACTGAGACCTTAGACGAGGTTCATGTCTATGATCCGAGGTCAATTATACGAAATAAGCTTCCTTCCCGGGATCTTAAGAGGCCCATGAAAGTTCATCGTTTGTTGGCAGTTCCAAACAACAGTATTATCAAACAGAGACCGGATCACAACGTTGTTCTGAGTTCTAGTTCACAATTTCTGCCCCAGTTGAGTCATTATGTCCTATCTCAATCGCCATCTTTGGGATCGCTGAATCTGGACGAAATCAATAAGCAGATGAAGCGAAGATTGGAAAATTTGAAAATCAATGAGAGTCTTGATGATTTATATAAGAATGAACCCCCTATTATCCGTGATTTCATGGCTGAGGAGGAAGCTAAACTTCTTGAAAATTCTGCCTATTTCGTAAGCTAATTATAATGACTTCAGTTATTGATCTTCAATAGAGTTATTTATATTTTTGCCATACAATAGATTTTGTAATTCAAATTCCCCTTCATTTATTTTTCATGTATATAATAAATAACTTATTTATCTACTTAATAAACGTGTTATTATTTTCTTTATATAAATGCTCGAATGAGGAATGCAAGATCAAGAGTTCTTTTAATTGTGTGGGGATGTGAAAAAGTTTAAATTTTTGCTGGTCACAGAGATAAATCGTCTTGGAAAATTACTGTCGTGTTTTTCACTTGGTGAAACTCTAAGGACCTAGAATATTACGACCATATTTTTATTTTAGAAATCATCTGCTGCTCCCGAAAACTGGGGGGTGTAGCGAATCCATCCGCTCTCTGATGTCATATTATAAGTCCCAATTTCATCCACGACACAAAATTTAGAAGTTCCAGCATTCGTCTTTTGACGAAAGGCCCAAAGAAAGATGTTCCCAAGGAGATCAGTTTTGCATATTATTCGATACACAAACAAAATGGAATTTTAATGCCTTACACTGTGCCCAAAATGTAAGACAGGACGCTTTCGGTCATTATGCACACGTGACATGACATGCACAATTCGATTTCCATCGGCTCATGACAAATGAGTGAAATGGTCAATCGCACTGTTTAAGTCCGTCTAAAGTACAATGTAAAGGGTGAGATAATTCCAGTATCCCACCATCGAGGTTCTATGATTCCACCTCACACATAAAGTGGAGATTGGTAAACGACTTCCTGAATGAGATTGTGGAGCATGATTAATTTCGGTTAGATAAATCGAAAAGGTATAAAAATGGTACAGTAGTTCCGTTATCAAGCTTTAAAAGATTCAAACAAGCTAATAGAGTTAAAACATGCTAGTGGAATGTGCTTACTTAATTATTTAGTGGTTCAAAAAATTAGACCTATGATTTCATCTTATTGATATATATATGTAGCGACTTATGCTTACAACAATAAATTTATTTATTTCAAATGGCAGGGGTTTTGATAGTTGTCATTAACCTTTTAACTGACTTCGTGCATTACAGAGGAGAGGAACATCAAAGGGAAAAACCCGAGAGGGGGTTCAGAAGGGTGATTCAAAGATGTAAAAGAGACAGACAAAGACAACGGCAGAGTAAAGGTAAGATGAATCCCGTGGATGGTCGAATATGACATAGTGTCGGGTCATGATAGTTTGAAGTCGGAAGCCAACTGCCGGTTTATAGACCTTTTTGAAGTATGAGTATACGTTGTACAGGGTGTACTGCGTGGAAGTAAGTCTATCGCACACCCCACAATAATAATAAATACCTTTTTACATAATGAATATTCGAAGGTGTTTAGAAAAGGCATTAAAGACACTAGGATTTCACAATTAGTATTAATGTTTGGAAAGCATGGTCCCACTTATACTAAATGCATGATTCTAAAAGTTGTAGAATATATATATTATCTCAAGGCAACAATCGAGCTACTTCTTTACACGGTTTTACCCCATCAATAAGCTTTTCCATCACATACATATTTATTCAACTTAGAGGAACTTTTGGCGACTAAGGTGTAACCGTTCTTCTTCAATTTAGACATATTAACGTTGCTGGGATCACGAGAAATACGGAGTGCTTACAACCAGTGCTCAAAATGGACGATTTATACAAAAATTGATGGATTCATGTGATCTCAATCCCTCCTATCCCTTCATTGGCTGTTCATTCTAAATCAATCATAATTTTTCTCACCACTCTTGTTAATAATCTTAGACCTGGCAAGGTGTTTACTGTGAATAAACGTAAATTTGTGATGGCAGCATCTCAAAGACCATTTAATCCCACACCCATCAAATGGCAGGCTTTGTGATAGCTATCATTAGCCCTTTAGTTGACTTCAGGCTTCACAGAGGGGAGGAAGAAGATCAAAGTAACAGAAAGTCGAGGGGTGGGGAACAAAAGAGTGTTTCAAAGATGAAAAAGAGACTGACACAAAGGCAGAGAAAAGGTAGGATGATTACTGTGGAAGTGGTAGAATATGGCATCTAGGAGGGCCTTGGTAGTTTGAAGTGAGAAGTCAACTGCCGGTAAATAGACTTTTTTGCCGTATGAGTATACGTTGCCCAGGGTGCTCCACGTGGAGGTAAGCCTATCAGACTTGGGCAAATTCTAAGGGCTAATTTATTGGAAAAAGTGAATCGTGCCTATCTAGTATGAGAGATATGCAAAGTATGCTAAGAATTTTATTACACGTTAAATTAACGATACTTTACTAAAAATAATATTCCGAAGTTTCTTTGATTATAGACTCGTCTTCTGATATTCCACTTTTGATTAGTTTTAGCCATCATAACTGATTTCGGCATTCACTGATCTGCACCTATTATCCCAGTTTAATTATGCGCATGCATTAATAAATACTTCTAACAAATATACTTGTGAGCACAGAGCACTGATAGCTGTAAAGACTCAGTTTAGGTATTAGTGAAAAACTGAGAAATTGCGATTTTCTTGTTTAGGCTCTAGTATTTTCTATTAATGATTTTAACGGCAAAGTAAGAGGAGACGGATTCGATATCCATCGACTTACACCCAGTGAATGGAATGATTAATCGCACTGGTTAAGTCTTGAAAATATAGATGGAAGATTTCCACACTGCGTTGGGTTTCGTAAAGTCCGCCTCCTATCAAAAAACGTATTGTGAAGAAGGCGTTTCTTAATGCACTTCCAGGTTGATCAACGAAAGACCAAGAATTCCCATTGTTGGTCGGTGCATTTTGAAGAAAGGTAATAGAAGTAGAGACTTGAAAACCAAAACTACTGCTATTGGAAATTGTCTTCAAAGTAAAGAGCATAACGAAATGACATGATAATAGCATTACCATTAAGTTTAACGACACAACTACATCTAATAATTCAGCGAATAAAATAGAGCTCAATTTGACATTTAGTTTCAGGCTAACTCTAACGGCACTGCTATGCAAAATACAAGTGACGAAGCAGGTAACGCGCAGGACAGCAAGGTCAGATTTCATAGGTTCGATATTAATCGGAGGGGGTGCGCGATAGACTTACCTCCTCGTGGTGCACCCTGGACAACGTATTTTCTTACGGCAAAAAAGTCTATCACTCGGCATTCGTTTTTGACTTCGATTTATTATGATTAGCTTTAAAAAAGGCTATAAGAAAAATCGCCCTCGTCAGGGCGAATTACAATGTCTTCAGATCCTCCAGTGGAATGCTGGAGGAATGTCTCCGGACAAAAAGATCCAAATACAGAAAATCCTGCAAACCTATGATGTAGACATTTTCACAATTATGGAAGCTAACATTTCGGATGACAAACTGAAGTATTACCAATTACCAGGTTACACCCTGTACAATCTACCTAAATACCGGCAAGTTGCAAGTGGAATTCTAACTGGAGTAAAAGATGGCCTCACCTCACACTACGATCTAATCAAGAGTATGGGCTCGACACAAGACAAATGTGAAATAATCAGATTAAATGTTTGGAAATGTCAAAACCAATTCAAGATATATGCAGTCTATAATCCTCCCCAGAATTGTCCAAACTTTGACTTTCTGAACATCTCACACAAAACTATAGTATTAGGAGACTTCAAC